CCACCCTTACCTTTGGGATGGGCAGCGACAGGTCGCAGAAGACCTCGAAGGTGGTGGAGCGGTACCCGCAGGCCTGGCACTTGAGGCAGCTCTTCAGCTGCCCCACAAAGAGGTCTGGGGGGCAAGAAGGGGGTCAAAGGGGGGGCCACCCCAAGAGGTTTGGGAGGTCTCAGGGAGGGGGGGTGACCCCCACCCCCAGCGCTCACCCACGACCTTGCTGTCCTCCCTCTCCAGGTAGCGCTTCCACATCTGGTTGGCGCGTTCGTCGTCGCTGCGGGGGGAGGTCGGGGACGGGGGGTCAGCCCCAAAATCGGGGCTCCCTCCCCCTCTTCTCACACACTCCCCCCCCTCCTCTCCTCACCTGAGCGTTTCGGGGTCCTCCAGGGCGGGGGCTCTCCGTGTGTCTGACAGGATGCTGGGGGTCCGCCGGCCCTTGCGGTTGATCTCCACGTGCAGCCGGTCCATGAAGAACTTGAGGAATTCCTGCGCGTCCTGTTGGCTGGGGTGGGGTGGGGGGACACACAGGGACACGTTGGACCCCCTCTGCCCGGCCCCCCCAAAGGTGTGAGGGCGGGTAGGGGGGATGATCCCCTCACCTGTAGCCCGTGAAGGAGGGGACGTATTTTTGGAACACGGCCTTGAAGCGCCCGGGGTTGACGGGCTCGGAGGAGTCCGGGTGCCAGAGCGCCGCGATGACGTCGGCGAAGGCTGCGGGGACAAGGTGTGTGTGGGGGGGGACACGAGTCTCAGGGGTTATGTAAGGCTTTCAGGGGGTCCTGAGTTTTTTTTAGGGGGTCTCTCCCACCTTCTGTGAGCTCCTGGGGGGCCCTGGGGCCGGGGGGCTGCTCCTGCTGGAAGTCCCGGCGCAGGCAATAGTCCCGCAGGGGTTTGGTGCTGCTCAGGCACTGCAGCACCGCGTTCATGAAGCACTGGGGACACAGGGGGACGGTGCTGGGACTTGGGGGGTTCCCCAAGGGTCCCCTTGGGGTGTCCCTCACTGTTTCAGGCACCCCTGATTGTATTGTGGGGTGGGGGGGGATCCTCGGGGATGTGACATCCCTCCCAGCGGGACTGGACTGTGCAGGAACAGCCATGCAGACCCCGAGGTGACCCCAAAGGGACCCCGAGGTGACCCCAAAGGGACCCCAGAAGACCCCAGGGGACCCCAAGTTCTTTGTTCACCCCAGGACAGTGGGAGAGGAGGGCTGAGGGCCACAGGGACGGTGCTCTGGGACTGAGGGTCCCCAAGGACGTGATGTCCCCAGCGGGACAGAACCATGGCCACCACGAGCCTGGAGGACCCCCAGGTGACCCTAAAAAGACCCCAGGGGACCCTAAATCCTTCGTGCAGCCCAGGACAGAGGGACAGGAGGGCTGGGGACCACGGGGACTGCGTGGGGGGGGGCTGGGGGAGCTCTGGGCACGTCACAGCCCAGCAGGACGGGACAGCAACAGCACAACCACCGCGAGCCTGGGGGGGACCCCGAGGTGAGAGACCCCCCCCCAAATCCCTCCCACACCCAGCACGGAGAGCCAGCAAGGTCTGGGGGCCACGGCGGCCACTTACCGTGTTGCCCAAATTCCTGAGGCCCACGTGGCCCGAGCCCAGCAGCAGCGAGTGGTGGGTCTGCGGGGACACCGAGTGACACACGTGAGCCGCGCCCCCCCACCCGCGACCCCCCCGGTCCCCCCTGGCCCCCCGGACCTCGCCGGTGACCAGCAGCAGCCCCATGACCGCCGTGTGCACCACGGACTCGGCGATGTCGGCGCTGCCCCGGCCCGGCAGGTCCCGCCGGGGGAGGAGGGAGCGCTGCAGCTTCCTGGGCAGCTCCACCAAAGTCGCTCCCTGCAGCCCGGGCATGGCTCCGGATGGCACTGCCAGGGTCTGTCCCCCTCGGGAATGTGGCACCGGGGCCGCTGCGTCCCCTCGCCCGCCCCCCCCACCCCCAGCGCCCTCAGCTCATTAGCTGATCCGATTCCCCAGGGCTATTCTGGGGAGGCTCATCCCGGGGGGGATTAATTAGCCCCGGGACCGCCCCCGGGGGACAGCGGGAGCCGCTCGGAGAAGGGGTGAGGAGGTAAACACCAACCCCCCCACGCCCCAAAACCAAACCCCGCCGGCAGGGAAGGGTGGTGGGGGCTCGGCGGGGCTGTGGGACCCCCCGTGGCACCGCCGGGGACACGCCACG